TTAGGCAGTGCTAATACTGTAATACTTTACTTGTTGACAAACAAAGAGTTCCTCAAGAGTCTAGCAAATTAAGGAGCTGATGGGTAGTAGTATAGATAGTGATGGCAGATGCAAGGGCATGGGAACATATATATATATATATATATCATATATCATTTCTTCACAGTTTAGAAAAGTCAACTCAAGTTGATTAGAATTGGTAGCAAATTCACATCTAAAAGGATCCTTGTTGCCTCTCAAGGATATGCTATCCAAAGGCTCTGGAGGTTTGGATACCCAAAGTGATGCTTCTGCCAAAAAGGCACAATCTGGTTAACCTTTCTTGTTCTGAATTGTTTAACCACAGCTCAAATGTGCTTGAAAGATTTCTGACCTTGGGCTAGTGAGATGGCTTAGCAGACAAAGGGCTTGTCATCAAAACTGATGACCTAAGTTCAATCCCCAGAACCCACATGGTTGAAGGAGAGACTTAACTCCTGAAAGTTGTTTCTGACCTCTAAATGAGCACTAACCCCCCGCCCCACAGTAAATAAATAAATGTAAAAACAAATAAATGAAAGATCTCTGACTTGTTTTTAGACCTGGTTTAGCATCTCTCTCATCGCTGGTGGGCAGATCAGTGCTGTTTTAGTTCTGTTCACAGTCATTCTGGCAGCACTTCCCCTCCACCTGTGTAGCCAGTATGTAGGACGATGCTTTGAAAAATTAAAAATTGTTCTTTTTATGCAGGTCCTAATTATTATATGCCCACATTCCTGCCTTGTCCCCACCTGTACCCTTCTTATTTTCCAGAAAGAAATCAGCATCTAGCCTGGGCGCTGACAGCTGTTCAGAACATGAAGTAGGTTGAAGGGCAATGTACCAAACAGGAGGCCATTCTGTTCAGACTCCAGTTCATAGTGTATTTGTTTATAGAAGAAATGTTTTAAGGGAGAGGAAGCTGGCCAAGGATGTTTAATAGGAGCTTGTAAACATTTGTATTAGGGATGATTCTTAGTGTTTTTACTTATGGTCTCTATTTTAAGGAACTGGAAAGACTAAGCCAGTATTGTAGATAGAAGTTGAGGTGTGCCCCAGCATTGCTCCTGGATGGACTGGTGCATTGTGAGTGGCCAATCAATCCTTTCCTTCCTTCTTACCGTCCAAACCCTCATTTTGTTAAAGGCAGCATATGTCCAATCACCTTCCCATACTCACTTGCAATTAGGGTGGGCATGTGACCCACACTGGCCAATGAGGTAGAGGTGACAGTTTCAAGGTGGGGACTTCCAGGAAAAAAAATTTTTTTTTTGGCAGGGCAGGAAATCTTTTAAAATGGAAAGTTTTCAGTTTGCCCTTTGCTTGGACACTTGCTTTAGCTGTCCTCCCACCTCTCTGTGAAATGCAGGCTCAGTGTCCAGCTAGCCAAGCACTAATGACAGTGGTGTGCAAAGGCCCAATGTGGTGCTATACACCGAAAATCCCAGCTCTTGAAAGGCAGAGGCAGGAGGATCTTACTTTCAGGCCAACCTGGACTACACATAGTGAGACCCTGTCTCAAAAATAAATAAATAAATGACAAACTAACAAACAAGTAGCAAAGTATGATGGCAGAATGACCCTAAATTCTTTTTTTCTTTTTCTTGAGGCAGGGTCTCCCTGTAGCTCCAACTGGCCTGGAACTTTCTATGTAGACCAGGCTGACCTCAATCTCACAGAGATCTGCCTGCTTCCCGAGTGCTGGGCCTAAAGGTGTGTACCACCACCCCTTGCACAGATCCTAAATTCTTAACATTAGAGAATTACTTTAAAATTTTTTTTTAAAATTTTTTAGAAGAAGCATTAACATACTCAATAACAATTTCCAGAGCAAAGATACATCTCTTTCAAAAGTGGCTATAAAAATTTTAGGTTCACAGTTGAATTAATACAATTATACAATACTGAACTCAGTATAAACCCCGTAAGACATAAAATTGAATGAGTTTTTAACCTTTAAAAAAGATCTGCATTTCATTTTAAAATATGCTGTTTCTTACAGAAAGACTCATTGTTTTTGCTACAGAATTACTTTTAACAGCCCAGGATTACCTACTTGCTGGTGCTTCCTGTGAAAGTAAGCAAGCAAGCAAACATGCCCAGGTGCTCGGGATCTCTTGCCTGGTCAAACCATATATATATATATTTTAATGTGAATTTATTATGGTTTATGCCCTCGCTTTAAATACGGGACCGTACAGAGACAAGCACTCTTGAGCCAAGGCTCAGAGCCTGCCACTTCAGATGCTCCCGGGCCTGCCCGTAGTCTCCGTTAACTTTCGCCCACACATCTTGAGACCTCGGTCTAGTCCCAGGTGGGTAAATGGCCCCTCTTGCGTCCATGCAGGCGAGGCGCACGGGCCACCTTTCTCTCCATGCCCTCAGCCTCACCGTTCCTCCCTGCTCCCGGGCTTCCGTCCCAAGATGGCGCAGAAAACCCCTCCCAGTCCATTTTCTGCAGCAGGCCCAACCGTCGGAGGAACCAGTCGCGTGGGACACACCACTGTAACTAAAACTGTTCTGTGTAACCAGATACACTCATCTGAGATGCTATTAAGACATTTCACGTGCTGTGACAGTAATGGATGCTAAGGGCTGTGGAGCCCCCTTGAAACAGCACTGCTCATGTGGGAACTACAGATTGATTCTGCAGGTCTGGATTGGGGTCTGAGGTTTCATGTCTCCCAAGCTTGTAGCTAATGTTGATGAGGTAGATCCTGGACCACACTTGGAGTAGCAAAGATTTGGAAAATGGCTGGCTACCTCATTGGTAGCTTCGTAACTAAAATCTCCAAAGGACTCCATGCGTGTTCAACAAAAAGTTTTTTATTTAGAATACCATTTTTGAGACAAAAGCAGTTCATTTTATTTAGCAAAATACATTTAACAAATGCATTTAAATAAGGTAAATTCCAGACTCATAGATTTTTTTTCTCAATGACTTGCTTTTCTACTGGTTAGAGTTTCTATCTCTTAGCCTGGGGTTCTTTCCAAGTTAATGCACCTGTAACCAAGGAACTTGTATATAAAATTTGAATGACTCAAATACACCTATGTTCTCACTCAACCATCAATGTATTAAATGAAACAAAGAAAATGATAAAGGAAGTGGGCTCAGAAGGGGATGTTTTCCCTTCCTGTCATGTTATCTTTTCAATAGAAGTCCTGCCAGCTCTGCCATGATGGTACAAGTGAATTGTTACTGGTCAAAAGCAAACAGACTTTTCACACCATTTTCGTTAAAACCCAAAGGGAAATGCAAGCCTCTCCCCTCTCCCAGCCAAGCCATTGCTTTGCACAGAACTGCATTTAGTTCCCTGTTGTTTTCTTTTTTAGCTATATACACATTTAAAAAAAAACCCAAAACAAACATTAAATAGCAGGACAGGAAAAAATGAACATACAACACTGCACTGAAGAATCAAAACAGCCTGGGCGAGGAAGAACAGGTGGAGTTCGTGGAGAGAAGCTGTGGGTATCCGGCTGCCTAGTCTGTGACAGACCTGCATTCTGAGGGCAAGCCTTCTGACTGCCGCCACTGGGCCAGGCGCTGTTTAAACCATTTCTGAAAGAGAGAAATGTGTAGAATTGTCTATCACTTACTGAAAAATTGAAATGCCGATGCTATTTCTAAAGGTAGTCTGTGTGGACCACTGGAAAGAAGAGAAGCAAGCAATATGGAGATGGCTCTCACTGTGACAGCAACCTTCCCTGCCTGGGGAACTGCACATGCCACTTCCTGTGCTGAGTATGGTCTTAGTCCTCATCAGATGATCTCTCTGTCTCTCTGTCTCTCTCTCTCTCTCTCATCTTCAGGTCTCAGTTTAAACAGAACCTTTTCAGTGATGTCTCCCTTGATCACTCTATTAAATATAGGTTCTCTTGGGGCTGCTCTTGCAGAGGATCGGAGTTTGAGTACCAGCACCCACATGGTGGCTAACAACTGTCTGTAACTTCAGTTCCAGGGGAATCCGATGCCCTCTTCTGACTTCCACGGGCATTGCATGACGCGGGTGCACTTTCACATAAGTGCACTTATATACATATATACATAAGATAAAAATAATTTTTTTTTTGTCTTTTTAAGACAGGGTCTCCCTGTAGCCCCAGCTGTCCTGGAACTCACTATGTAGACCAGGGTGACCTTGAACTCACAGAGATCTGCCTGCCTCTGCCTCCCGAGTGCTGGGATTAAAGGTGCGTGCCACCATGCCCGACTATAAAAATATTTTTTTAAGGAAAATAGGTTCTCCTTAATCGCTGTTTCAGTACTTTGTGAATTTCACAGGATTTTGAATATCTATCCTTACTTTATTTGCTTGTGTATTTATTTGTTTTTAAACATACATACCCTTCTAGAAAGTAAGGTCCATGAAAGCCCAGACTCTTCTCATCTTATCATAACATCTTCCCTTTAACACAAATTCTCAAGAGTTAAGAGATTAATCAATGTGTGTTGAGTGAATAAAAGACACTGAAGTAGTTCCCTGACGCCCTGGATAGATTTCTATTCTATGACTTCTGTATCTTATAATGGGTGCTGATGCCAGCCTGGCTTTGCTCATTAGTAGCACACTAGTAAGTAAGAATTTGTTGAACAAATGAATTGTAACAGCGTTAGGCAATCCTAGAGCACTCCTCTTCGGGACCCGGGGAGCAGACTGCTGAACAGCCAGAGAAGGTAGAGTGGATTTACCAGCTCTGTGTCACCCAAATATTCACCCCTCACTGATGTGAACATGGATTTGGGGAAGGCCCCTATGAGATGCTTCTGAAATGGTACTATGGGAGGTCCAAGGCATTTCTACAAGCTGAAATGCAATGTGGTACATTCTGGACAAGGTACTATGTTACTGAGGGCTGAGGGCTGAGGGCCTCCTCAGTGAGGAGATTAGAAGCACCATGCTGAGACCCAGGACTGGGTCTGGATTAGGCACGTCAGAAGGAAAGTGAGATGTGAAGAATCAGTTCCACTGAGGAACTGGTGAGGAAACAGAAGCCTCCGAGGAAGACGGGACGAGCTCTTTCCTTTGAGCCCTGCAGCTGTTCACATGTCATAGAGTACACTGAGAATAGTGACAGTTCACCTCACACTGCTGTGATCAGGCAAGCTGCTAGGGTCAGTGAGCACTGCAGACTGTAGACCTGGCTGTGTTAACAGTCAGCTCTAGTGTGACTAACTGTAGGAACTGAACAAAGTCATTAGGAATAGTGTCAGTCAGCCAATTCATGTGGAAACCAAGAGGTAATTTTGGAGGCCTCTATTGTCCTCAGGGTTTCCTGAAGTTCACTAGTCTAGGGGTAAGAATGGAAGGGAAGAAAGGTCTCAGAAAGAGTAGTGCTGTATTCACCCGATCTGGGTGTGCTGATGGAGATGGTCCAGAGGAAAACATCTATTTAGCATGTACTTTCTACTGAGGAAGAGCTGCTCTCTCCTAAGATCTAGGGAGCTGGCTGTCATTCATGAAAGGGTGTGAGGTTCCAGGACTGAGAAGTCTCCCAACCCTGTCCCCATCAATGCTAAGTGGAGCAGCATGGGCCACACCAATGCACAGAGTTTACATGCTGAATCACTATGTCTCTAGGGTGCCAAGAGCAGTTGTTTCTCTACCCTTATCCTGGGGGGTGGCAGCAGAGAAAAGCAATGGAAGGCCAGGGTGGCGGGCCAGCCGAGGGAAGCCTCATCCAAGGCACTTGCCCTCTAGGTGTCTCATTTCACTCTTGGGGAATCACTAATCTTTTTTTCCCCCATAGTTCTGACTTATTTTCTATTTTTCTTTAGTTTTTTCTGTTGCTTTGGAGACAGGGTCACATAGCACAGGCTTGCCTTAAACTCATTACGCAACCGAGGGAGACCTTGAACTTCTGCTCTCCCCGCCTCTATCTCCTAAGTGCTAGAGTTCCAAGTGTGCTCCACACCTGGTTTATGTAACGCTGGTGAGAACCCATGGCCTTGTGCATGCTGGGCAACAGCATACCAGCTAAGCTATATCCCCAGCCCTGAGAATCACCAGTCTTAAGAAGAGAGAGCTCATGTGACACTGGGGCTTCAACCCAAGTTTGAAGGTGAAAAGTGGGCACATTTTCTTCTGTTAATCTATGTGTGTGTTCAGTCAACCCTGAGTCTGGTTTGAGAGCAGCGTGGTGCCAGCTTCACTAATGAGGTAACTCTGTGGAGGTTTTGCGGTTGCAAGCGCTGACTAAACAGAATTTCCAATGACAAGAGCTGAACAAATGGCAGCATTTTAAAGACTAATTAAAATCTAGAGGAGGAAAACTCTCACTTTCTATCAGGACTCATTTAAGACAAGATGGTTGAGGGGTCCCATTCAGAAGAGCCACCCACATCTTTACATGCAGACAACTGATGGGTCATTACCAAAAATATCTTCAGCCTGGACCACATTTTTGAATTTGTAAGTTGCCATCCACAGGCTTAACAAATTGAGCTCTGGCATGGGGGATGCTGAGAGGTGTAAGGAAAACTCAACTGTTTTCTGTAGATATAGATTGTCAATGAAGTTTGCATGTAGGAATTTAGTAAACAAACTGCCCTTCAACAAAAAGCAATCACTCTGTGGCTAGCTTTTTTCCTGTCTAGCTCTGACTTGTAGCCCCTCACTCACATCAATCCTAATTTCCCACCTGGCTTTGTCTTTCTCTGCTTTGTTTCAGTTATCCCCTGGGAAAGACATTCATCCCCTGCTTATGAACGGTCACCCTCATTACCCTTGGTCATTGATGGGAAGTTATTTACTCTCAAGTGAAGAGATGGTAATTAGACACAGGGGTGGAGAGAGGTGGAGCAAAATAACATTGTCCTGTCCTTTTCTCTAAGCACTAGCATTTTTTCTCTTTCAGGGGGAGACCTTTAGAAGTCTTTATTCCGTAGATAAAACATGCAACAACTGAAAACACTGGATTCTGGGAACAAGTCCAGAACACCAAAAAGAGATAAAAATACTGGAAACTTCTCCAAGAACCAATGCCAACTTACACTGTGCTTGGTGTGTGTGTGTGTGTGTGTGTGTGTGTGTGTGTAAAATACTACAACATCATTGCAGCCTCCCAGGGGGCTGGTAAAAGATCTTTCCCAGCCCCTTCTAACACTGACTTCCAAACAATAAGACAGGGGAGGTGGGATTCTGTATGATTTCATCCAACTTAAATGTAGAGGACATTCAGATTACTATCATGAGAAAAACTCATTCCAGGACCCCAACAAATGCAATTTAAGAAGTTCTCTCATTTAGAGTCCCTCACTATACTGTGAGCTCCTAGAAGTGCCCTTTCACAGCAGATAATTTGGTCCTATAGTGGGACTGGTATAATGAGATCGGCAGATCCTCTTTTGACTCATAATCATAATGACTGAGTTTTCACACCGTTGTGTGAGATGTAACTCCCTTAAACCTTATTAAGATGTTGGTGTACTGAAGAAGCCAGGTTCTGTGTTGTATAGTGTTTCTGTCAGAGGCCATATGGAAGAGACTAGATTCAGGAGTCTGACTTTTCAGTAACCAGTTGAAGAGACCATTCCATTTATATAGTGATTGGCCAGTTTTACACAACACTGATTAATGCAAATGAACAGTTTCTATCAACTGAACTCATTTTATAATTATATGAATGTCACCCCATTTTATATGATGATTAAATATTTTGTACTAGATACTCTAGAAAAAAACTCATTTCATTATTATATGAATGTCACCCCATTTTATATGATGATTAAATATTTTGTAGTAGATACTCTAGAAGAGAAGTTGTAACTGTTGATCCTCTTGGAAGCTTCTTGCTGGGAAGGGATTTAGAGTTTTATAAATGTTAATGAAATATTTTCTGTACTTATCTCTATTTGTCTACTATATTCCTATAGTAATAACATAAAATATGTATGACTGTCTTTAGTGTTCCTCAAAATAAATGTTTTAAATAGCATATAAATTCCCCCCCCCCAAAAGATGTTGGTGTATTACCCATGTGATGGAGGATGGCGAGGGGGGCACCACAAGGCTCCCTAGTCAGAATGCCTCTGTCTCTAGTCTCTCTGGCCCCTACCAAAGTATTAGCACTGTGAATCATTAACTGTCTCATGTAGCTCATGTTTATTTTTCTTTTACTGACATAGAACTTGTTCTAGGAAAAGAGTATGATGCCATTTGTGGTGCATGTCTGTAATCCCAACACTCAGCAAGCTGAAGCAGGAAGATCTGGAGTTCATAACTAGCTTGGACTACAGAGGAAGACTGTGTTTGAAAAAGGGGAGGGGGCAGCATGATTCTATCTCTGGAGATATCTGGTGTCAGGATGGGAAGAAGATTCGGGCAGATGTGATGGACATTATTTTGGCTTTGGGGACCCTATCAGATAGAAAGGGGCCACATTAGTAAAGAACTGAAACAGGGTCATATTGATAGCAGCCACTGCTGACATAGGAAGCTTAGCAAGCTCTAGCCTCCATGGAGCTCTATTAAGTATTCCTAAAAGAGCCACTATAAATAAAAGTAATTGTATTAATGCTTGAAAGTTCATCATTAGATTTTGTTTCTCCAGAAGACACTTTTCTTTTTTCAGAAGATACTTTTAAAATGTAAATGTTGGGGAAGATTAAAGGATCAATTTCATGTACCAGGGCACATGAAGGTGGGGGGGGGGTAGGAAAGGATGGAAGATGAGACCCAATCCAACAAGAAGTGATAGGACAGGCAGATTGAGATCCTAAAAAACCTCATTCCTAAAACTTCTATTCTGTGCTTCTTTCTGAGCTCTGGGGTCCAGGTGCTTCCCTGCAGGTCTAGGCAGGAAGTCAAGGGGCAAGCTGAGTGGCAGCAGCCCTCTGGAGGAAGAAGGTGTTGGCTCATGACAAGAAGAGGAAGCCAACCCCTCCCACGAGGCTGACTCACCAGTACCACTCTTGCCAGGCTGGCTCTATTTGTTCATTTGAGGATAACAGAAGAGGGGACATTGAAGAACTACTTATCATGGGCACATACCTCTGCCATGCAGATGTCTACATGGGTTGGCTGACCTTGACCATGAAAAGGCAGGTGCCCTTTCTTCCCACTACTAGACTTAATTTCAATTCTCTAATACCCTATAAATCTAGAGGAAAGCTTGACTATAGCCTAGAGTGTCTGTTGCTTAAGGCATAAAGTAAGCTTTCAGTCCTTCCCTCCCACCCCATCCATTCATTTCCATCCTTCCTCTGTGGAGATAGCATAGCGCAGAGGCCAAGAGTCTGGATTATGAAACCAGACTGTGCTCTGGTTGTAGCCATGAATAACTTAACCTTTCTGTGCCTCAGTTCCCTTATTGAACTAACAGTACTTTTCCTCTCAGAGTTGTGGAGAATAAGTGACTTCACACTCAGCAAGTGTCTGAATCAATACATGGCACGTGTTCATCATTCCAAAGTTCGCATGGGACTGGTGGTGTAGCTCGGTGGTAGAGTGCCTTTTTAGCATGCTCAAGGCCCCAGATTTGATTCCTCAGCACTACAGATGCACAGTGAAGATAAACATGGCTATTCTGCTTTACAAGTATAAGAAACTTGGAGGCTGAGAAGGGGTGAGAGCCCTAGTTGGTACTGTGCCCACAATGTGCTACAGCCTCATGTTCTTCAAACATGAGCCATCTCTCTGATCATTAAATGTAGTATGAAGTTTTTAAATGATGAAACTTCAACAGCTTGCCCTTTCAGAGGTTCCAAGAAATATGAGCTGTTGGGCTTGGGTTGCAGTAAATCACCTTCTACTAAGATCTGGCTGGGCTAGACAGCTGTTCCATTTGCTAGGAACAGATATGTTTGCCTTTCTGTTTGATCTGTGACGGTGAGGATTACCTATGGGTAAGCTCTCGGAGTTGCCTCTGGCTTAGTAAAGATCATCTCAGGACTTGGGATCCAGGATCTTGGTCCCAGAATCTAGGCGGGACCAATGACAAGGTTTTAAGCTTCAATGGTGCAGGGCAAAGGGAGGATAAAGCACCTCTAGTCTGTAACACTGGAGGGATAAGAATGTCTGGGTTTTAGAATTGAGATGAGAGGTGTGAAGTGCTTTGGGTTCCCTAGGGAGAGGTGGGATCAGTTCCCAAGTGATTTATCTTTCATAACAAACTATCTTTCCATGACCAAAGAAAAAATAGAAGTCAGTTTAGACAGGGCTGGGGAGAATATGGGATCAGCTAAAGATGCCAATGCTGCAAACAAGGGTTCTTTAAGCAACTCTTAGGATAATGTAGTGGGAGTTTTTTTGTTGGTGGTCTTGTTTTTCTTTAAAGACAGACAGATATTCAGTGCACTCAAGGGGTTGTGTGCTGCCACTGTTTCAGATGTATTCCTTCTTGGAAAATTCCAGAGAAAGACTCTAAGCCTTAGAAGTAGGTAAATTTTTTTTTTTTTTTTCTTTTTGAAGCAGGGTCTCCCTGTAGTCCCAGCTGTCCTGGAACTCATTATGTAGACCAGGCTGGCCTTGAACTCACAGAGATCCACCTGCTTCTGCCTCCCCAGTGCTGGGACTACAGGAGTGCACCACCACGCCCGGCAGAAGTAGGTAATTTTAAAGACGAACCAAAATGTGGTAACGTGTAAAGCTGGTTCTGCAGCTGAGAAGTGGGAGCGAGATGTGGTGGGAAAAGCCAGTTTAACGACCCTGGACGCTCCCTCAGGGCCTTAGTTTCCTTCTTTGCCAAATTCGAGGTCTAAATTTATAAAGTCCCTTCCAGCTGTGACATTTCTGCTGAGACTTTTCTGAAGATCTCATGCACAGCCCGGGGTGCTACTAAGCAGAGAGACCGATGCTGCTCCCGCCACGAAGGGAGGAGAAAGCATCAGTCCTGGGCTCTGAGAGACAGCAGAAAGCCAGAAGGAAAGTGACCATGGAGTGTCCACGCCGGTCGCGGAGGCTCACGGCGGGTTGGGGGTGGAGGCGGACGCGGCGCCCAGGTAGCTGCAGAGCGGTGCCGGGCACCCGGCTGCACCCGAAGGAGGACCGCAGGGACACACCAGTCCCGAGTGCTGCGCCGGCGGCGCGGGGACTCACCTGCGTCTCCTCCTCGGAGAGGCCCGCCTCGGCAGCGATCAGGCACAGCGTAGTGGGGTCGGGATGCTTGTTGACCTTGTTGAAGTTGTACTCCAGGATCTCCACCTGGTCCTCTGTGGGGCGGTTCGCAGTCTCCGTCGACATGGTCTCTAAGCGGCTGTGAAGAGACAGAAGCACCGCTGTGAGCGAGGCCCGCCTGTCCCCTCCCGCCGACGGACTCACGGCGGCGGGCCCCGGCTGCAGGCGGCGGGGTTCTCCGGGGCCCTTCCCCCGGGCGGCGCCTCCCAGCCTCCAGGCAGCGGCCCCAAACTGGCCAAGGATGGAGAGGAGGAAGGGGATGCCTCGCCCTCCCGGCTGCAGCTCGGGGGAGAGGCTGGCGAAGCACCTCAAGAGCTGCCTCGGGAGCCCGCGCTGCCCTGGGGACCCACGACAGAGGCAGGACTGGCTTCCGCGGCCACCGTGGGCACGCCTCCCGGGCCACGGCACTCCGCCTCTGCAGCGGGTTAACATGTGGGGGCCTCGCCAGGGCGCGTAGGGCACCCACACTTGGCCCAAGAGACTGCCAACCGTCGGCACAGAAGTCACCTCGCCAAGTTGGGGAAATGGAGACCACACTTTTTTAAAAGCTAATGATACCAATAGATATTTCCTCTTTTCCTGATTACAAAATAACACATATCGTAGAAATTTTGAAGCAATTATACGAAGTCACAGTGGAGAAAAAAATTTAAATCACTCACATGATCACAAATAACAGCTACAAGGTTTATATGGCACCTTTAAGATCTTTCCAACTTACAGAGATGGAGATGGGACAATAAAGACCTGATTTAAAGCAGGAGATGGAGTTGGGGCCAAGCCACCTGCACGGCTTGTGTGGGCCACTCTGCCACCACTTCCTCCACCCTGACTTCTGCCCACCTTCCTGCAAACTTTCTAATCAAAGCTGTGGGTCCCCAGCTTGCTGTTGCAAGGTCCCCATCCCAGAGTAAACGGTGAAGAGCCCACTTCGCTGTGTCCCCAAATAGGATTACCTACGCAATCAAGCAGGATTAAAATCAGCTGTCCTTTAAAACCACGGATTTGGGCTGGAGAGATGGCTCAGTCATTAAGCGCACTGGCTACTCTTGCAGAGGACAGGGGTTCAGTTCCCAGAACCCAGGTGGCAGCTAACAACCATCAGTAACTCTGGTTCCAGGGGATACAACACCTTCTTCTGGCCTCCACCAGCATTGTACCCATGGGTGCACTTACATACATGCAGGCAAAATGCTCATACACATAAAATAAAAACTGGAAAAAAAAAAGCTCCGATACCTGCAAATATACTACCAAGTCGGGAAAATAGGTACACCTCAAGCTTCGAGGTCTTGTGTATCTTTGCTGCCAAGACATGACATGTTGCTAGCAGATTGGGCCAACCGCCTTGCACTGCATGCTCTCCACATCTACCTATGCAGCTTCAGACCAGGGGCAAAGCAAGCTGACAGGTATGCTTCCTCTGCTCTCATTCTGCAGTTTATTGGGGAGGTGGAGAGGGTTGGTCTTAAAGATAGACTTGGCTGTGGATTTGGTATAGACTTGTCAGGCTGGGCTGTTGCTAACAGTAAAAGTGTGGGAATCACATTGGCTTATTGTGTTAACAAACTATTGCAAAATCCTCCAGCACAGTCCTGAGTGGGTTTTGATGTGGTTTGTGCCTAGAGATGAGCCACACTTCACTGAGCTTCCTGGGTAATGTGCCCAGTGTTTACAACCTTTTCACCTGTGACTGCACTGCCCACTCTGTAAATAAATGTCTTTACCTCTCCTCTAAGTCCCTTAAAGAGAATTCAGACAGAACAAGCTTTTTTACTATGTGAAATTGGGGCTCAAGTTATTTGCCAAGAGACTGTGAAACCACTTTCAGGGAACTGGGTGTTTTTCCACCTAAACATCTATAGCAGGGATTCCTGTTTCAGTGCCAAGGCAGGGAGGGTCAAGACGGTCAGGAACATCCCCTCTCTTGTTAGCACCTGTCCTCCCTTTCTGTGACATACTCTGGAAAGAGTCTTGGAAATGACTTCTGCCATCCTCTCCTCACAGCCCAGGAGACTGAGGCAGAGAACTCAGAGCTCCACTGATTTCCAACACTGCCCATTTGGTGTCCAGCACTCTAAGAGATACTGAGCCCTGGCTTCAGGCCCATGTTCTCCTAGCCCCCTTTCAGCAAGCCAATTTTATTTCTTGCCTTGGCAGGGTTTCATCCAGTTCCACTTAACATGGTCCTGATGGCTCTTCAACAAGAACCTTTGTTGCTGCCTTGTGGAATCCTCAGACCTTCAGAAATATCACATTGCCGAATGGAATTCAGACTTAAGTACTAATATGCACATGCTGTCCCCTGTCTTTCTGTGACTACTGTTATGTAACTCAAGGGCTGCTAATGTTCCTGCATGGAATCAAGTGCATTTTATTAGATTCTGTGGCTTCCTGTTGCAAAACTGTGTGAGGTTATATGGGGAGGTCCTGGTTGACAGAGGATTCCTAGGGTTAGTTGGCAGGGGGCCATTGGCCTTGGTTGACTGCTAAGGAGACTTGTGGGAGGGTCCTTTGAAGCACCCATTTCTCCAAGGTACACCAAACAAATGTAGTTGGCTTCTAGCAAGGAAGAAAGATTTCAACTGTCAGATGTGTATTATTGCTCTACAAAGCTCAGTCTCTATTATTTCTGCCCTCCCTGGTTGGCAAGGGTTTGCTCTTGCTTTGTTTCTCTTACTGTATGAATCTAACTGCCCTGGTAACCTTGGCCTAAAGGTTCTCAACTGTTTCCAGTTAGAAAATAAGGAAACTGCTGAGAAGTTTCTCTAAAGACTGTCTACACAATTTCAGATACAAGAACTAAAAATATTTTAAAGCTACTTCAACTTCAATATTAACAGAAGTTTAATTGTTGTGGTTATTCATATCTTAATGAAACATTCTACAGAGTAGTTTGTCCTGTCATTGTATTTTTCTTTTGTGGTTGGGGGAAGTCATTGCATAAGCATTTGGAAGAGGTTAAATGAAAACAGCTGGCTTTTTTACTAAATCAGTTCCAAAGCCTGGGCTGACAGTTGTGTCAATCCAACAGTTTTATTTATGTTTCTTCAGCCTGTGGTCATTTATTTTGAAAGTATCCACCTATAAGAACTAGTCCATAGCAGAGCGTAGAGGCACATGTCTTTAATCCCAGCACTCAGGAGGCAGAGACAGGCAGATCCCTGTGAGACTGGGGGTACAAAGAGACCCTGTCTCAAAAAGACCAAAAGAAAAACAAAACAAAAAAAAAACAACAAAAAAATTTGGCCCACAGAAAGTTCTATGAGGTGACAAACTTTGGTTGCCTTTTTATTTTTATTTATTGTTTTTATTTTATGTGTATGAGTGCATTGCCTGCATGTGAGTGTACCTGTATCTTGCAATGCCATGGAGGTCAGAAGAGGGTGTCAGATTCCCCTGGAACTGGAGTTAAGGATGGTTCGTAGCTGCCATGTGGGTGCTGGGAATCGAACCTGGGATTGCCTTTTTAGATATCTTCTCCTTCTCTAAGAACTCTGGCTTCTCTGTAATCCCATTAATATCAAATTAAGAGAAAAAGAAACTTCTTATAAACAGAGTCCTGTGGTGAGCTGGCCAACAGGGAGAAAAGCAGGTCACTTCTTTTGAGGTAGGGTCTCAAACTAAGTGTATAACTAAGAATGACTAACTTTTGATCCTCCTGCCTCCACCTTGTGTGTGTGTGTGTGTATGTGTGTAAATGTGGTACTGAGAACCAAACTCAGGGCCTTATGCATGCTAGGCCAGCACTCTACCAACTGATCTATATCCCTAACTCTTCAGGAACTTTCCCCAATTTTTTTGCCTGGATTTCTCTTATGGATTTCACTGTCACCTTCCTGTGAGCAATGGGCTCTTGAAACATTCCATAAATCCCGAAGTGAGAAAAAATAGGTGGCTGTTTCTCCAACAGAAGTGGTGGGCATTTGCTTTGCAAGGGTGGGGAATCTTCCTGTGTATCACTTTCTGAACTACTCCACAGAAGGTAGAAGAGGGAGAACCCAAACTTTCAATGTCTCTTAGAAATTGACAAAAAGGTAAAGATAAGGCTCAGTGGTAAAGCACTTGCCTAGTGTGTGTGCAAGGCCCTGGTTTCCATCTCTAGCACCAAATGGAAAAATTAGAGTGAACTATTGATCTGCCTCTATATACTAACACACAGGCTAGAGATGGAAGGCAAAAGAGATGTTCTTATAAATACAAATCTGGTTATTAGTGTCCTTAAGCTAAAAACAGTCACTGTCAATCCTTGGTGATTTAAGAATCACCTGTGGCTATGTCCAAGCTTACCACATACCTCCTGAAGAGAACCACATTTTAAGAATCTATCATGGGAGACAAAGCATATTTCAACTTTTGTTAAGATCTTGGCAATTTAATTATTAGAATCAACTAGAAGTGTTTAGAAATTGTCATGGCTTGTATCTATCTATTTTGTGGTGTGTATCATGTCAACATTGAGTAGATAGTAGGTTGAGGTAGTTTTAAAGGAATACGTTTTTTAATTTTTAAAATTATATATATTTGTGGTAACAGGGATTGAACATGTCTTCTAAACCCAGCTAGGAGGATTTCCCTAGAGCATTTACTAGAATTGGAACTGTTGGTTTACAGGATGTGTGGCTGTTTACCTTACAGCATAGCATCAATGTATTCTCCAAAGTTCTTGAACAAAGCTACCCTTTGAACAACCATGTGTAGCTTTCCTTCTCTGCGTCCTCATCACCATATGTCTCGTCAGCCTTCATTTTTGACAAAGTTGTTTGTTCTCTCTATCCATGAATAGTATGCGAACTTAAAGCTACTTACATTTCCAGCTTGTGTGACCAACCTCTTGGGGTTAAAGGTTCTACCTGTTTATTATTTACTGTGTAAAAATATTTCCTGTTCCAGTCCAGAAGGAGATTTAAGGGTTTTTGTTTGTTTCTTTGAGAATTTGGACTTTGTCTCCAGGCTAGCTTAGTTGTTTCCATTGGTCACCAGAAACAATAATGAAAATATGTATGGAAAACTAAACACTAGGAATTGTTTATATCATGCAAAAGAAAGTATTACTATTCTGCCTCTACAGACCTCTTG